AGATCCACCTCTGACCTTCCTAAGTTGAGCCTACCAGGATACAAGGCGTACAGGCCAATGGATCGATCCCGTCGCTCATCAATTTCATCCACCTACAGTCATACTAGGCTGACAGTGGCACCAATATTACCTCGAAGATCCATCTCTGAACCTCCTGAGTCGAGCCTTCCACCTTTGGTAGCAACCCAGCATGGGAACTCTGGAAAGTCCGATGAAACGCGATTACATGTTGAAACTAAAACCTTCAAGCCCACAACTTGGCTTCCCCTGACGCTACGCAAACCGTTTCTCCTTTTACTAGCCGCAACATCCTTCATAATTGTCATGGTCATAACCGTACTATGTTGGTACTCAGCCCAACACCGCGGAATTGCCAACGACGATGGATCGCCCGCGCTCTTCTTCGCGTGGCGGTACGTGCCAACAATCATCGCAGTACTGTACGCCCAGTGTTGTATCATGGTAGCCGCAGACGTAAAGCGGACCGAACCGTTTGCTCGCATGGCGCATCCGGATCGAATTGAGTGCCAGCACACTTTGCTCTATGTTCCCAAACCGTGGTGGAAAAGCGTGTATATCTGGATGTTCAAGAAGAGAAGGGGCGGCCCAACAGCGCGGGTCTTGACGCTTTCCTCCGTCGCAGCCGCAGTAGCATCACTCGTCATCTCAACTCTGTCCTCTTCATTTTTCACCACCAGTGAGTTTATTATCCGACAAAGCGTCCCGTTACAGCGGCAAGTTCTGGGCAGCAACGGGACGATATCGCTCGCACCTCGACGCGATACCTATCTTCATACCATCAGCGGCTTCCTGCGTAACACTTCAACTTCCATGTGGGTATCGGATTCTTACATGGTCGTGCCATTCGTGCCCGGAGTGGACAACGACACCAAGAGTGGTTCGTTACCCGATGGCGTTTGGGAAGCGGAGACCAAAGTATTGCAAATGACATACGATTGCGCATCCATGACCATGACCGACAAAGATCCTGTAAACATCACGTTATCATCTGATGAGCAGGGTTCTGTCGGAATGTCTGGTAGCTGGGTAGTTCCGGCCGCCCCCAAGGGCTTCAAACTGGTATCTGAAGACGGTTGTGCACTCCGGGTACAAAGTCCGATCTATTATGAAGGAAATTCGAGCATCAGGGCAGAAACAGGTGATCTTATGGACGACTTCACGGAATACGGAGGTGCACTTTGGACGAACATGTCCGATTCTTACGCATCCTGGACAGACCTCATCGAGGACGAAGGCCGCCAGCCAAATAACGTCGCTGGCCAAGATCCACTTCTAAACCAGTGGACACGAACGTTCATTTATGATCTCACCAATGAATGCCGAGGGCGTGATTTGCTTCTTGCCACGCCACCTTGGTATACCAACAACATTCCAGACGAGATGACCAACAACGAACGCAGACAGTGGCAGGACCAATATTGGGCTAACTTTAGCGCCAGAGCCCTGGTCTGCAGTCCTGCCTACCATGAAGCGAACATGCTGGTTACCGCATCTGTTGGTGGGTCACATTCGCATATCACATTTAATACCTCCGATCACGAGCGACTGCGTAAGCCGATAGCTAACACTTCCCTCGACCTACACCATCTCAATGATCTGGCCTTCACTAAAGATTGGCCAAAATACTTGGTCGATACCTCGGGTGGAAGTCTTGACCAAGATGACGCTACTCACTCTCAAGACGCGGCTCTGCTTCTTGCCAAAAGCTTTTCATACAATACAACAGCGATGATGCAAAATATCACTCTAGGCACCAAAGCTGGGAGATTCCGTGCTCGTTTCTTCCACGAGCTTCTCCTCTCATCACTCAACACTGCCGATATGCCAGCAATGGAGCCAGTCACCGGAAACGTGCCACAAGTGCAGAAGAGAATATTAGTTGCGCAGGATGTAGCCATCACGTTAGCAGTGTTCATGGGGCTCGGTTTGTGCTACTTTGCATTCATGGCTTGGAGTGTCGCGGCCCATCGAAGGCCGCTTGGCATAAGGAACGACCCCGCTACGCTTGCTGGGATGATGTCTCTAATCACGACTGAGACGAAAATCGCAACTGACCTGAGGAATGTGAAAAGTAGCGGTCGACCTGAGATGAAGCGTCTCATTGGTTCTTGCGTGTTCGGTCTAAGAGGTGGGATGATCGTAGAGCAGCAAAACCCTGGCGCGAAAAGTAAAGCGGAATCGGTGATAGAGAAGTCGATAAACCCTGCGAACAAATCGGAAAAGCAAGCCGAATCTTCGGTCAACCTCATCATGAAGCCTGGAAAGCGCCGAGGAAAGCCTTCACAGGGCAACTGGAGGCCTCCAATGCTCCGTTTAACGTGTTTGGCAATCTTCTTTGTGGGTCTCAGTGCCATCACAGTAACGCTGCTAGTCCTACGAAGCTACGCTAGAAGGAATCGACTTATACAGAAAGCCTTCGTATATCAAGCCGACCTTGGCGTCTTCAACATCACTTTCTCCCCACATTCCATGATTGCTACTCTGATAGCTGTGTTGGTTGGACAGTGCTGGGAAGAGATCGACAACCCAATGCGTACTCTGCAGCCCTATCTTTCCCTGTCTCGGGGCCCTCAAAGAGGGGTGTTTCTGTCGTATCGGTCATCTTACTGGGCATGGGCCGCTATCAAAGCTGTACAGAGCAGACATGGGCTTCTGTGTCTGGTCACAGCAGGGACAACCTTGTCTCAGATACGTGCGTTTCTCCTGTCTGCCACTAACTCGCGCTAACTAGTCAGTGATCATTTCAATGGCAGCAACCTTTGGACAGGACACCGTTACGCGCGAGGTGGGCACGCAAATCCACCAGCCCGTAATCGCCCGACAACTGCCGATCGAATTTGGGATCGATATGAGTAAGCCGTGGGCCGATATAAGTGAGCGGCAACCTTTCTACCTGAGCGAAATGCTTCTCAAAACTGATGACACCGAATGGTTGAGAACCGCTATGGATGAAATCACGTCGAATACTCCAACACTAGCTTGGACCAAGGACGAATGGGTGTTTATGCCAATGAATACAACCACGATATCTGGAGACGCTACATCAACGGAAGTAAGCTCAGTCTCAGGATCTCAAGATGCCTTTGAGTACGCTGTATCTTCCGCAAATGTCACGTATACCACCTCGGCACTTCGTGGTAGACTCGAATGCAACGCACTAAGCGTACCGATGGACTGGCTCGATCAAGTGCAGGATCTATTCCGCAACGATCCGATCTTCCAAAACAGGAACTACGAAAACATTACTGGCTACGTTCTTCCTAATACGCTCTTTTCAAACACTTCCAAGGCGCCTATCTTCACTGTACCAAGGCGCATGGCTTGCTGCGCCAATGGCACTGACCCAGAGAAGCAGTCTACGATCGCTTATTGGTCCAACAATAGTACACTTAACGAAGAAGAAACCGAAGTGCCAGTCGGCGCAGAGGGACCGGAGGTCTTGCGAGTGCCGGGCAATTACCCGCGCCATTTTCTCATCAAGTGGATTGTCGGGCAAGCCGCAACGACGCCCGTGTCTGGTGCTGAAGCACTCCTCAGCCTCGCGGTTGGAAACGGAAATGAAACGCTTCTGTACTTCTTGCACAGGCCGCAAATATCCATCATGGAGTGTACTCCCATCATCGAGCAGGCGAATGCGAGCATCACCTTTGCTAAGACGTCGAGTCAGATTTTCGACTTCCATCTGCTTCACGAGCCACATCCTGCGCCGGGTGCATGGGATCATGCTTATGACATCGAGTATTCTGCGCCACGGTCCAGCACCTGTAGAGGAAACGTTAGGTAGGTAAGCTCTTTCCACAGAGAAGTAGTTCGCTGGATCAAAGCCGCACTATCATCCATCAAATAGTTCTCACGGCGGCCCTATATACAAATTATATACACCCCAGCAGAACCATCACTAACCAGCATTCCAGCTACGGCTTCCTCTTCCTCTCCCAGATGCTGACTGCCCCACACATCGTCCGCCCCGAAAAATACACCTCCTGGCTCTCCTTCAATGGCATCCTCGAGGACCTTAACTCGGAGCACTTCAACATCCGCGACAGTAATAACGGTTATAATATGGATTTCATGTCGTACGCTACCCTGCACCTCGCCGGCATGAACAACACAGCCCTCCTCGCTCCTGAGACTCTGCTCCGTCACTCGCAGAAAACGTTTCAAACGTTCTTCAAACACTTCGCGGCGACGGGGCGCTGGACGTACGGGGCTACACCCGAAAGGACGGTGTTTGAGAACTTATACGAGAGGAGTGTACCCCGAGCAGGACGGGGGTCCCGCAGCGTGAACGCCACGCTGACAGAGCGCATCGTAGTGCTCAAGACCAACGAAGTGGCGCTGTGGCTCTCGCTTGGCATCATTTTCGCCCTCTTGGGTATACTGCTTGTTCTCATAGTGAGTCTTAGAGTCGTGTATCCCGCATCGTCGCTGCAGTTTCCGCTCGAATGCGTGGCGGATTTCCTGTGCTTGGTTGCGGGGAGCGATGAGTTGATGCGCTTGGTGCATTCGAGGGGGAGAGAGGAGCTGGAGAGGAGTGGGGTGGAGACGAGGTTGGGGTGGTTTAGGGATAGGAGGGGTGCGGTGCGGTGGGGGGTTGAGAGGGTTGGGGGAGGCGTGGAGTGGGTTGATGGAAGGGGGAGGGGAGGTGGTGTGTAGCTGCGCCTGGAGGGATGGATGGAGAGCCATGGGACGTAGAATGATTGCGTCCTCCTATCGGTATTTGACGGGCTGTTGTTAGACGGGAAAGCTCAGATCCAGCATTCGCACCAGCGTTCTCTGATGCTACCATAGCAGGATGTAACCGTGCATGTAAACTCTGAATGAAAAGCAGGCAACGAGTTCGGACCAAAACAAGAAAATTTAAGAGTACAATCCGTGAACACCACCACGGGCGTGATACGGAGCCTTGGAGTCTTTCTCCAGTCTACCAAAACAATATAGGACACAAGGTTCGCAAAGGAAAAAAAATCACAAAAAGATACGGAAGCCCGGGATCGAACCGGGGACCTTCTGCGCTTTCACAATCGTGAATTGTAAAGCAGACATCATAACCACTGGATGAATGTTAGAATGAGGCACTAGACCATTTGTGTTACAGGATACGAACCTAGACTACTCCCGCTGATGCTGTTCCGTGATAGATTTTTGAAATTTGCAATATATATACGTGCTACATTGCAGCACTGTAATCAAGAAAGGCTGGCTCATTGGCTGGATGCGTTGAGCTGGCATGTGGGCGTAAGTGGGGTAGCTGAGTCTACGAAATTTCGAGTCCGAGACTTGCTGCAAGTTGCCAGCCGTACTTCCTCCTAAGAAGCTGTTAAGCTAAACGAAATGTCTTGTAAAACTACTATCGCAAACACTTTACTAGATCTACCTTATACAATATAATCTCTTCGATTACCTTCAACACCTACGGTGTGTCGCTAATACCGAGCTCTCATATTCTGCCACTCCGCACCGCCTTCATCAATGACATATTCCAGCTAAGCTCCGTCAGCTCGGAAGTAGCAACATCTCCCCGTGCTTCAACACTTCTCCATAAACCATTAAAAATCTTCCACAACTCCTTCAACAAACGACAATCAATTAAACCCCAATACCACCCCTCAATCGCAGCAACCCACGCACAAAAATGCCCGCGCGCGCCACAACCCTCCGCGCCCTCCTCCGCACCACCACCACCACCACCTTCCGCGCACCCACCACCCAGACTCCCCGCTCCTTCTCACAACTCCAACAACGCTCGCGCTCCCCCTCGCCTCCACCACCCTACCAATCTCGTAACCTCACCCTCCTCGCCCCCCCAACATGGACGCGCTTCCGCACGCCCTACACCTACTCCTCCGTCCGCACCTTCACTTCCACGCCGCGCACACACGCGTCCCCTCTCCCCTCAACCTCTCCCGACGCGGCCGCCAAGATCGACGCCGTGATTGAAGAGATCCAGGACCTGTACGGCACGGCGCGCGACGAGTTCGAGATCGCAGCCGAGGAGACGGAGAAGAACACTACGTATGCGGCGGACGATCGCGCGGCGGCGAGGGAGGAGTTGGATCGATTGTTGGAGTGCTATAAGGGGGTGGTGGAAGGGGGGGATAGGGCGGTTGCCGAGGAGGTGAAGAGGAGGGTTGGGGGGAGGGTGAGGGAGTTGGAGCAGGCGGTTTTGGGGATGGAGGAGAGTGCTATGCATGGGGATTAGAATACAATGGTTGATGGACAGAGGAGGTGATGGTGTGGATGGGTGCGTGGGTGTATGATATGTGGCGCTGGATGTGTCAAGATATTGTGGGGGGAATGAAGCATGTGTAAGCTATTGTGTGCGAAAGGGCATGGCGATTCGAATGTACAGCTGGATTGTTCATAGATGGAGCCCATTTCAGCTCGAGATATATCAAATATTACTTTCAAAATTGAAGACACTGCACCGCTTCGTATGCACTGGAATAATTTGAAATTACAGTCTTGTTCTTCAAAGGTCATTATTCAAACGCTCAGTGTACACCGTGTATCCGTATTCAAGACCTCGCGAATGGCATCCATCCAAATCCCCCCAAGAGACGCGCCTCCCGACAGGGAACTACTCCAATACCCTACAGCATCTCACAAAGGCAACTGAAGCATTTAAAAAGTACTACCACCACCGTTTCGGGTTTCTCGCGGACGTCGCACACTGTAAGCAATGCCGTGCATTCGCAACAACAGCACATGTGCCACATACGTTCCTTCCGCAATCGGTGCACGCGAATGGGCTCCTCTCCAATGGCCCATCGACGTCCATGTCGACATCCACATCGTTCGCGTCATTCTGAAGCGGCATGTCGCAGTCGTCGTACCGCGGTGCGTTCGCGTCGTGGTGACATTGCATTTGCGGTGTGGCAAGCTGCACAGGCGGCGCAGCGATTTTCCAGAAGGAATGCAGTGTCGACTTCTGCGGCTTCTGCACGGCGAGTGCGGGTTGCGAGGGCAGCGGATCGGACGAGATGGGTTCGGCGTGCGGCTGCTTGCGCTGTGCGGAGAAGAGCTTGTTGATGGTGGTTTCTGTTGCCTATCAGCTTCTACTGTATTGAGTGAAAGAAGCCTCTGACATGCTTACCGTGTATGACGCGTTCGTCTGGTCGATTGTCTCGAAATCGCTTTCGCGTGCGCATGTTCCAGTCGCCGCTCTTTATCCTTCCCAGATTCGAGAAGTCCCATCCTGTGCCTCTGCTTATGGGTGCATCCAGTTCCATTGCACTGAATCCATTGGAAAGTGGTATTGGCGATTGTGCTTCTGGTGTTGCGAAGCTGCCGAAGCTGGAGACGGACAGGGGAGACTCGTCGACGGATCGTTTGCGCTTGAAGCCCATGGTGAATGTTTATGTTGCAGTGTGTGATAGGGAGAATTCGAAGTTGGGTATGAATGGTATTAAAGAGTATAAGCGGGAAAGTGTGCGGCGTGGATGGAAGAGTAAGCGGAGCTGAAGCAATGATGATGAGATGTGCAGGACCGTGTTGGAGGCTGGACGCGCGACGCGATCTAGCGCGTTAGAGGGGCATTGGCGAGTACCTAATGTCATAACCACCACAATTCCAGAGGTAAAACGGGTTGATCTGATCTGTATCACAGTTCAAAATTCGTAGTTTGCTCTATTGTAGCCAGGGCCACACGCTCTCATCTTCCTTTTGCAGAAGGGCCGCTGATGCGCTCTGTGGACGTTTGGCAGACTTGACAACCAGAATTCGTCCAGCGGAACAGTAAATCTGTAGAATCTTCAAACCTCTCCATCGGTTCCGCATTGGGCTCCTTCATAAGTAATCCAAATGCTGCGGAAGCATTACGTCGTCGCCGGAATGTAGCTGCCCCACTAGAGCTATTCATGTATCACGCAGTACCGTACCCCACCATCACTCCCACTTCCTGCCAGCTACAACAGCTCCAACAGAGCACTGACACAGCTTACAACCTCTTCGGCTTCAATGGCACCTACCATCCGCTATCCCTCGCATGCAGGGTCGTGGTACACCGACGATGGGGCAACCCTCTCCCAACAGCTCGACAACTGGCTATCCAAAGTACCGAGCTCAACAACGCCCATAGGATCAACTTCGTCCAAGCAAGGCGATGTTGCAATACCCACGCAAAATGCGCGAGCTATCATTGCACCGTACGCTATGCAAGGACTTCCAACGCGAGAGATACACGGCTCACTATATGTAGACATGCTGGATACTCTTACTCTGGGCCTGCTGCGGCATGGGCGTACAAGAGCGCCGACTGGGCAAATGCGTATGGGATCCCTTGATACAATGAAAGTCCACGGCTTACTGTTGAAGAAAACGCGTTTTTCTACTCGGTCCATCCCATCACTGGGGCTTACCCGGCGCCGCAACGACCGCCTGTGGTGAATACGGCACACCGCTCGGGAATCTCATAGTCGACACCGAACTCGTAGACAAAATCAGGAAAGAGTGGGGTTTGAAGACTATGTCAAGGCAGCAAGACGAAGACGAGCACAGCCTAGAGATGCACCTGCCTTACATTTACAAGATGTTGTCACTGTATGATCTCCCTTTCGCACTCAATCATCTCGAGACATTGCTCACATGTTATGCAGTCACAATTCAAGCTTCAAGGCAGATACCTCCTCAGTTCCTTTGGTCCCCATACTCGTCGGCGCAACGAACATGAGCACCGAACGCGACCTCGGCGCCAAACTCGCGCCCTACCTCGCCGATCCTAGGAACCTCTTTGTCATATCCTCTGATTTCTGCCACTGGGGCTCGCGCTTCCGATACACATACTACCAGCTGCCTGATGGTAGCGCAAAAGAACTGCGATCTTCTTCCGAGGTAAACAAGGAACATCCAATCCACGAGAGCATCAAAGCGGTAGACTTTGAGAGCATGGATGCAGTGGAGAGTGGAGAGCATAGGCAGTTTCTGGAGCAGCTGCAGGAGACGGGCAATACGGTTTGCGGACGGCACCCGATTGGCGTCTTCATGGCAGCCGTTGAGAAAGCGCAGGGGTTGCAGGGCGATGGGAAGTTCAAGTTCGTGCGGTATGAGAGGAGTAGCGAGGCAGTACGCGTGAGCGATAGCAGCGTGTCGTACGCCAGTGCATTCGCCGTACTATGAGTGGGTGTCAAACTGGAGGACAGGGGTGACGCAGGTATGATATTGAGCTACGCCATGGGAGCTGATGTACCTTTGCAGGAAATCTCATGAAATCACGTCATGGAATCATCTACGAGAGCATATCCAGAGCTCCAAATAATCACAAGTCAACGTCAAGAACACCAATTCCCCCACTAATTTTCCATTAAATTCTATGTTACAATCGAACCCTGGGTATCATTCTCGGTCGCCAAAACGAAAGCCCAACCAGTTTCCCTCCGCAAAACCAGATAAAAGACGAGAATTAGAACGCAAGCAGTTAGTCAGTCTAGTGAAAGCCAACCCGCGAACTCCAGCCCCCGTCTATCCTCCCGATAACAAAAGAGACAAGAAGCGAAAGTCAAAACTCAGAAACTTCCAGCGGGAAAAAAAGAAAAAAAGAAAAGACGCCCTCACGACCGCCTCCACCCACTCAGCGGCTTCCACTCATCCGTCCGCGTCCTCTTCACCCGGTGGAACCTCACACTCTTCTCCTTCACTGGTTCGTCGTCGAAAATCAAGTTGCGCCTTCCCCGCTCGCGCTCCCGCGTCTCCCACTCCTCGTCTACCCACTTGTCCTTCCGCCGGAATATGTCGCTCGACCACGCCATGGCCTTGTGCTCGGATGCGTGCGACGACTTGGGCCGTCCAAACGACGCCTTGATCTTAAGCCGGAACTCACGCTCACGCTCGCGCTCGTCTTCATCGTCAGAGTGCGCGTGCGAGTGTGAGTGCCTCGCCGGGGCAGGAGAGTACCGCGTCGTAGTGTACTTGTAGCGCACGGTGCGGTCCTCATCTTCGTCGTCATCCAAAGGTGTAGAATAGTACTTCGACGATGAGTGCTTAGGCGAGGAGGACGTCGGGCGCGACCAGACGTTGTACTTTTCCAGCTGGGACGGTTGGGCCTGGCGGATGGTGAGGGCGCGGGAAG